AATTCCACACTGTGCGCCTGGAAGTGCACTGCACAGAGTAAACAAACCATCATCAATTACTAGACTGAGAAGCCTGGATAATTCCTGTTCCCCTGAGAATCTGGCTCTGGTCTCAGCAAATTATTTCTTCACTCCCAGGAGACGCGCTCTCAAGCTTCATATCTCTACGGTCAATTTTCTTCTGTCGTTCTCATGGACCTGAGAGAATTGTCTGGGAGTCCTGCCAACCTGAGAGTCCACAGAGATGGTTCACAGGAATGATAAATGGGACTGTCCAGTTTGGGGAGTGTCAGACATATGCGACTCAGACGCTGACTCCGGGGGCTCTGTAGCAGGAAGGGAATCTCCTCTTTCTGCCAAGTGGGAGTTCGGTGAGTTGCCTTTTTCTGCGTTGAGGTTAGTGCTAAGGGCTCAGGAATGGTTCCGCAGCTCCGGTCATGGCCAATCCGAGCAGGAATTTTCCAGGGCAGAGACTTGAACTATTTAGTCTTGTCAGAAAATGAAGGGATTGCCCCACTCAGATTGGGAATACAAATGTATTGGAAATAGCTGGGGGGAAATTGGTATTAATATCAGTTCCGTGTCTCTTACTCTGTCCTTCGATCGGTCTCAGTCACTTCCTTCCTCCCCTCTCCCCCGGTTTTTGGAAGAAAGAGGGAGCATGGCTTTCACTTTTCTTCTCTGAAATATTCCCATTCAGCAGCCTCGCTGCCCTCTTAGGATTTGAGCGAGTCTCTGTGTGACCAGAGGGCTCGCCACAAGCCTGGGTCCCACACTGGCCAGTTTCTGCTCTCCCACTCTTCCTGCTGTGAGCCACACAAAATGGACATTGGCCTCCCTGAGAGCAAAATCAGGGTCCTGGTTCCTTGAGATCGCCATTTTTTGTGCCTGTGTCAAAATGCCACTTATACTGGGAGTTTCCCTCATGCTCCCTCCGCACTCTGACGGAACAGCACTCTGAGTAGCAGGAGCAAAAGACAGGATTTGAGAAACGCTGACAAAATAAAAACAGTAAGGGACAAACCACACTGAGATCACCATAAAACCATCTTCAGGGGCTAATGTAAATGTCTTGGTTTCCACTTAGAATCATAGACTACTAGGACTGGAAGGGACCTCGATAGGTCATCAAGTCCAGTCCCCTGCCCTCATGGCAGCATCAAATACTGTCTAGACCATCCCTGATAGACATTTATCTAACCTACTCGTAAATATCTGCATAGATGGGGATTCCACAACATCCCTGGGCAATTTATTGCAGTGTTTGACCACCCTGATAGTTAGGAACTTTTTCCTAATGTCCAACCTAAACCTCCCTTGCTGCAGTTTAAGCCCATTGCTTCTTCTCCTATCCTCAGGGGCCAAGATGAACAAGTTTTCTTCCTCCTCCTCATGACACCCTTTTAGATACCTGAAAACGGCTATCATGTCCCCCCTCAATCTTTCCTTTCCTAAACTAAACAAAACCAGTTCTTTTAGCCTTCCCTCATAGATCATGTTCTCTAGATCTTTAATCATTCTTGTTGCTCATCTCTGGACCCTCTCCAATTTCTCCACATAGAGCGGCAGAATGACTTCTTGTGTCTTGCTCACAACACACCTGTTAATGCATCCCAGAATCATGTTTGCTTTTTTTGCAACAGCATCACGCTGTTGACTCATATTTAACTTGTGGTCCACTATAACCCCTAGATCCCTTTCTGCCGTACTCCTTCCTAGACAGTCGATTCCCATTCTGTATGAGTGAATCTGATTGTTCCTTCCTAAGTGAAGCACTTTGCATTTGTCTTTATTAAAGTTCATCCTGTTTACCTAAGACCATTTCTCCAATTTGTACAGATAATTTTGAATTATGACCTTATCCTCCAAAGCAGTCGCAGCCCCTCCCAACTCGGTATCATCTGCAAACTAAATGGATACGTCTAGACTGGCATTAGATTCCGCAAATGCCTTTAATGGAAAAGTTTTTCTGTTAAAAGCATTTGCGGAAAAGAGCGTCTAGATTGGCACGGATGCTTTTCCACAGAAGTACTTTTTGTAGAAAAGTGTCCATGCCAATCTAGACGTGGTTTTGCGCAAGATCGCCATTTTCTCCATCGGGGCTTTTTTGTGCTTTTTAGCTGTCTACACTGGTCCTCTTGCGCGAAAACATTTCCAGAAAAGGGCTTTTTCCCGAACGGGAATGTCAAAACATTTGCACAAGAAGCACTGATTTCGGACAGGAGAATGTCAGTGTTTTTGCACAAAATCAAGCGGCCAGTGTAGACAGCTGGCAAGTTTTTGCACAAAAACGGTCGCTTTTGCTGAAAAACTTGGCAGTCTAGACACAGCCTGGAAGTGTACTTTCTATGCCAATATCTAAATGGCTGATGAAGATATTGAACTGAGCTGGTCCCAAAACAAACGCCAGCGGAACCCGACTTGTTATGCCTTTCCAGCAGGATTGTGAACCATTACTAACTACTCTCTGAGTACGGTTATCTAGCCAGTTATGCACCCACCTTATAGTAGCCCCATCTAAGTTGTATTTACCTAGTTTATTGATAAGAATATCATGCAACACCATATCAAACGCCTTACTAAAGTCTAGTTACACCACATCCACCGCCTCTCCCCTATCCACAAGACTCGTTATCCTGTCAAAGAAAGCTATCCGATTGATTTGACATGATTTGTTCTTTACAAATTCATGCTGGCTGTTCCCTATCATCTTGTCACCTTCCAAGTGTTTACAGAGGATTTCCTTTATTACTTGCTCCATTATCTTCCGTGGCTCAGAAGTAAAATTATTTCCTGGGTTGTTCTTATTTCCCTTTTTATGGATGGGCACTATATTTGCCCTTTTCCAGTCTTCTGGAATCTCTCCTGTCTCCCATGATTTTCCAAAGATGATAGCTAGAGGCTCAGATACCTCCTCTATCAGCTCCTTGAGTATTCTCGGATGCATTTCATCAGGCCCTGGTTACTTGCAGGCATCTAATTTTTTAGATGATTTTTAGCTTGTTCTTTTTTTATTTTAACTTCTAAACCTTCCACCTTCTCACTAGCATTCACTAGGTTAGGCATTCCTTCAGACTTCTTTGTGAAGACCAAAACAAAGAAGTTATTAAGCATCTTTGCCATTTCTAGTTTTCCTGCATTCCAGCATGTCCTCCGGCCACAGGGCAGTGTCTCGGACTGTAAAGGAACATGCTCTGACACTGTCTTCCATGCTGCCCCCCCCCCTTCCACGAGCCACCCCACCACAGGCTCGTGGCCATGTCAGCAATTCCCAGCACAGAGAAGCAGCCTCAGGAAGCTCTGTCGGGTGTCTGACAGGCTGCAGTACATGAAAGCTGTGTGTCCTTGTGAGGAAAGTGAGTCATGCTGGCTCCTTTTAGTCTCTGCATCCTCTCTCCTTCCCCCTGTGTCCCTCCCTCTCATTCCTCTCATGCCCAGGCGCAGCCGTTGCTGAGGCTCCCTTTGACCCCAGAAAGATAGGCCACTTTTTACTGGGAGGGAGGAGTAGCTCAGCATTTTGAGCATCCACCTGCTAAACCCTGGGTTGCAAGTTTGATCCTTTGGGATCGGATCTGGGGCAAAAATCCGTCAGAAATGGTACGTGGTCCAGCCGTGAGGGCTTTTCTCAGTGCAGACAGACACTGAATTTCACCCAGACTAGGGACTTGTTTCTATGAGCTCTCACTGTGGAGTCTGACCCCTGGTTTTAGTTCCAGGTGAGGGGACCACTGTGCAGCAGCATTAGGCAATTTGAGGTGTGGGGGGTTACACATGGGCAAGTGTCCAGCACTTGAGGTTAAAGAGGAAAAGTGTGGTTGAACTCAGGCTGGTGGGCAATGCTGGAGACTGTAGGTACGGGCTGAGGTACACACCAAGGAATCCATTTTGAGACACTTGGAAGAGGGGAAAGTGATCAGGAATGGTCAACGTGGATTCACCAAGGACAAGTCATCCCTGACCAAACTGACTGCCTTCTATGACAAGGTAATTGGCTCTATGGACATAGGGATGGTGGTGGACGTGATCTACGTTGGCCTTAGCAAGTATTTTGATAAAGGTCTCCCACAGTATTCTTGCCAGCAAGTTAAGGAAGTCAACTGATAGTGATCAACAGTTCGATGTCTGGTTGGCAGTTGGTATCAAGTGGAATGCACCAAGGGTTGGTTCTGGGGCAGTTTTCGTTCACCATCTTTATTCATGACCTGGATAACGGGGTGGATAGAATCCTCACTAAGTTCATGCATGACACTGAGCTGGGGGGAGAGGTAAATACGCTGAAGGGCACTGTGAATATTTTGGTTCAATTTGAAAAGCCTTACTCTGCCTAGCTGCCTCTCCCAGCTTTCTTTCAGGCAGGTGCTACAGTGCACTCTGCTGGCCTAATGATAACATTGGGGGTCAAATTTTGGCCTCAATGAGATCATCCTAAACCCACCTGTAGGGGACTATGTAACTGGATTGATTACACTCACCATGTACTTCTTTGGCCCAAAGAAAAATTGACAGGAGAATGTGTGAGAACTCTACCTTAAACATAAAGGTCAGATTTCCGATCCCTCTCCTCCTGGATCATACGGTTTTGCTTATTTTAGGTCCATGTTAGCACTGTGACCTGGGTTTCCCAGAGCCGAGTGTACCATGATGCCCAAGTCCCTGTTCAGAGTTTATACACTTAAATTGGAACTCTGTTAAAACATTTAAGTTCATGCTTTTCTGTCCCAAGATCCAACACATTTAACTTATTGAGACTGAAATTCCTCTTCCAGTGTGCTGCCCATTCACCTAGCTTGCTGAGGACTTCTCCAAACTTGACTATGACCAACATTATCTGAAAGTGTCTGTAAATATCACCAAAATGGCCATTCCCCATTGGAGACTGTTAATAGCTCTACAATATTCAGGATACTATTTTAAAAAGTGTCTAATCCACTTTTCTGTGTTTCTGTCCCTTCAAAGGACCCGTGTACATTTCTGTGCCCTACTAATGCATCGACTCTTTCATGGAAACTTCCAACTTCACCGGCTATGACCCGCCAACATTCATCCTAATGGGCATCCCTGGCCTGGGAGATGCTCATATCTGGATTTCTATCCCTTTTGCTGCATTCTACATGACAGCTCTGTTGGCAAATTTCACAGTACTGTCTATTGTGGCCAAAGAGCAGAGATTGCACAAACCGATGTACCTGCTGATCGGCATGTTGGCAGTCTCAGACATGATCATACCTACCACAATCATCCCAAGGGCCCTGGGGATATTTTGGTTCAATTTGAAAAGCATCACTCTGGCTGCCTGCCTGGCCCAGGCTTTCTTCTTGCCGGTAAGTGCTACTATGCACTCAGGGGTCCTAATGACAATGGCCGTGCTAGTGGTTGTAGGTTTCATAAGAGCTGTTCTCTTTGTTCTGCCCATGCCCTTCCTAGTAAGTAGGATGCCATTCTGTGACAATCGCATTATCCCCCACACGTACTGTGAAACGATGGCTGTGTCAATGTTGTCCTGTGGGGACATCACAGGATGCAGAATGTACGGCTTGGTGTTGGCATGTGTTTCCACTGGGTTTGATATGACAGTCATTGCAATATCCTATGTGCTAATCACCAGGGCCGTCCTCCGAATGTCCTCCAAAACAGCCCACCAGAAAGCCCTCAGCACCTGCACCGCCCACATCCTTGTGATACTCATGGCTTATCCTCCTGGCCTCTTCTCCATTCTGGCGTACCGGTTCGGTGAAGGTATCACACCTTCTGTGCACATTATTTTGTCCAATCTCATTTACCTCCTACCCTCCATGCTCAACCCTATCGTGTATGGAATCAAAACCAAAGAGCTTCGTGAGGAAGTGGTTGCATTCATCTGCAGAAGGTTCTTGATTGGCATCACTGACTATAAAACCACATGACACGTCTACTTATTGAGAAATGGACTGTGTGACCCTGGATTCGAGGGCTGTGTACTCCAGCATACGATCAAGCTAATGGCAATCACACAATTTAAGAGCATTCACCATGAATAATTGTAATACAATGCTCAATAGTTAATAATTAATTTGAAATCAGGCTTTTAGGTGCAAGGTCAAAATCTAGGTGGCAGTTTCTGCATCTCAGAATGGGAGGAGAGGACAGAGAAGTAAATAAGTAAGAATGAAAGAAAATAATGGGTGAAAACTTTGAGTCTGGACACCTTTGATATTAGAAGTTGATTGAAAGTTGGCCAAGTGATGTTACAGAAAGGCCCCAATGCACACTAAGAAAAGCAAATATGTTAGGTGACCAGATTGGCTTGCCAGGGAAATCCCTGGTGAGTTTCAACAAAAAAAGGAAGCTTATGAGAAGTGGAAACATGGACAGGTGACGTGGGGGGAGTATAAATATATTGCTTGAACACGTAGAGGCGTAATCAGGAAGGCAAAAGCATATATGGAATTCCAGCTAGCAAGAGATGTGAAGGGTAAGAAGAAAGGTTTCTACAGAGATCTTAGCAATAGGAGGGTGATCATGGAGGGTGTAGAGCCCTTACTGGATGAGGGAGGTAGGCTAGTGACAGATGATGTGGGAAAAGCTGAAGTATCAATGCTTTTTTTGCTTCTGTCTTCACAGACAAGGTAAGCTCCCAGACTACTGCACTAGGCAACAGAGTATGGGAAGGAGGTGGGCAGCCCTTGATGGAGAAAGAGCTGGTCAGGAATGATTTAGGAAAGCTAGATATACACGAATCCATGGGTCTGGATTTCATGCATCCAACGTTACTGAGGCAGTTGGGAAATGTCATTGTAGAGCCTTTGGCCATTATGTTTGAAAACTGATGGAGATCGGGAGAGGTCCCGGATGATTTGAAAAAGACAAATATAGTGCCCATCTTTAAAAAAGGGAAGAAGGACAATCCAGGAAACTACAGATCAGTCAGCCTCACGTAAGTCCTCAGAAAAAAACCAAGTACTTGGAAGAGGGGAATATCATCAGGAATAGTCAACCTGGATTCACCAAGAGCAAATCATTCATGACCAATCTGATTAGTTTCTATGATGACGTAACTGGCTCAATGGAGGTGGTGAAGTTTTCGATATGACTTTAGCAAAGCTTATGATACGGTCTCCCACAATATTCTTCCCAGCAATTAAGGAATCATGCATTGGATAAATGGAGTGTAACGTGGCTACAAAACTAGCTAGATTGTTGGGCCCAAGAGGTTCATAAGAACGGTTCATAAGAAAATAAGAACGGCCGTACTGGGTCAGACCAAATGTCCACGGTGGACCGAAGACAATGATCAAGCGAATTGTCTCCTGCCATCCTTCTCCAGCGTCTGACAAACAGAGGCCAGGGACACCATTCCTATCCCCTGGCCAATAGACTTTTATGGACCTAACCTCCATGAAATTATCTAGCTTCTCTTTAAACTCTGTTATAGTCCTAGCCTTCACAAGGAGTTCCACAGGTTGACTACGTGCTGTGTGAAGAAGAACTTTCTTTTATTAGTTTTAAACCTGCTACCCATTAACTTCATTTGGTGTCCTCTAGTTCGTCTATTATGGGAACTAATATATAACTTTTCTTTATTCGCCCTCTCCACACCACTCATGATTTTATAGACCTCTATCATATTCCCCCTCAGTCTCCTCTTTTCTAAACTGAAATGTCCCACTTGCTTTAATCTCTCTTCATCTCGGACCCGTTCCAAACACCTAATCATTTTAGTTGCCCTTTTCTGAACCTTTTCTAAGGCCAAATTATCTTTTTTGAGGTGAGGCGACCACATCTGTACACAGTGTTCAAGATGTGGGCGTGCCATAGTTTTATACAGGGGGCAGTAAGATATTCTGGGTCTTATTTTCTATCCCTTTCTTAATAATTCCTAACATCCTAGTTGCCTTTTTGACCTACGCTGCACACTGCATGGAAGTTTTCAGAGAACTATCCACTATAACTTCAAGATCTCTTTCCTGATTGTCGTAGACAAATTAGCCCCCATCTTACTGTACGTATAGTTGGGGTTATTTTTTCCAACATGCATTAGTTTACACTTATCCACCTTAAATTTCATTTGTCATTTTGTTGCCCACTTACTCAGTTTGGTGAGATCTTTTTGAAGTTCTTCACAGTCTGCTTCTGTCTTGACTATCCTAAACAGTTTAGTATCATCCTCAAACTTTACCACCTTGCTGCTTATCCCTTTCTCCAGATCATTTATGAATAAGTTGAACAGGATTGGTCCCAGGACTGACCTGTGGTTAGCCCTGTCCATTTTGAAAATTTACCATTTATTCCTACCCTTTGGTTCCTGTCTTTTAACCAGTTCTCAATCCAAGAAAGCACCTTCCCTCTTATCCCATGTGTAGCCAGACAAAGCCCTCCACCTCCCTGTCACATCCATCTTGCTTGTCCCTCTAATGTGCCTGGAGCACACAGGACACAGAGGGCAAGAATATCAGCATAGTCCTTGATGCCTTGACAGAGGCCCGGATATGCTGGCTCATCGTGACCCTGGATTACTGTAAACGCTGATAAGAGAGGGTGGTCAAGCAAATTACTGACCTAGGGGCTGTGAGAAACTGCCCATGGCTGGCACCTATGTTAATACGATCACACAACCATCCCTGGGAGAGGAATCTCCCACTGAGAAAAGATTCTCCAGTACTCCCAATTTAGTTATCTCTCTTACAGGTGTAAATTAAGTTCACAACTCCCTTGTAAGAGCTGGTGTCACAAAGACGAACGAGCACAGTTTGGTGCCTTACATAAGAAAGAGAATACATGACCCCACAAGTATTAAGATGGGCCCAGAAGCACACTCAATTTGTGCGTCAATCTACCATCTACCTGCTGATCGGGTTAGGTAGTCGCCTCCTAGGGTCCACATAGGAACACCCAGCTTCGTATTCGTCTTTCCGAGGAATTGAGTGACCGATCCTGGCCTGACATGCTGGAATCGAGAGACGTAGAAGGGGGAAAAAATTGTACCTATATGTGTCCTTTTGTCTTAGTGCATGCATAGAATTAGAGCTCTATAAAGATTAAGCTGTCACTTGGTACTGTTATTTTCTATTTTCCTTTTCCTTTGTAACCATTTTTTAAGACCTGTATTTGCTAGCAATTAAGAAGTAGAACAATAGCCATTGTAACCGTATGATTATGAGTTTCTCTAATAAACTTGTAACTGTTTAAACTTTAACCTGACTCCTTTTGTTGCTGTAACAGAACCAAACACAATTAACAGAACTCCAGTCGGTCATAGGGGCAGACACAGGCAGAGCTGGGCGTTTGGGTCCTGTCGCCTCCACGGGACAGACCCTTGGACACCCGTCAGCATTACAGGCTGCCCACTTCAAAGGGACCCTGTGTCCTAGCAGTTTAAGACTCGGGTGTAATAAGCTCTCTCTGCAAAAACTTGGAGCACTCGTCAGCCTCCTTGCTGCCCGCTACTAAGGGACCCTGTCCTTGCAGTTGAAGACTCGGGTGCATAATAAACTCACACACACACCTCACTGCTCCGACCATCAGCTGACAGAATTGGCGTAGTCGGCAGGATTGTGTTATTGGTTCACATACCGTAACATGAAGCCAGTCATGATAGACATGGATTTTAGGTGTAAAGAGATAGAGTTCACCCAAGAGGGATGGGGAAACCCTAACTGGGATAGAGATGTTAGGGCAAGAAATCTGGCAGCAGTTCTGTAATTGGAGAGCTGCCTGCAGAACGTAAAAAAAGGGGAAAGGCAAAGGCGCTTGGATCTGGCTGTTAAAGGGTGTGTGGCAAGCAGCCTGCACGAGCTACTGGAACTTAGAAACAGAGCTGATAAAAGTACAGAGGGAGAGGAAGGAGCTGCAAAAGCAATGCCAGAACGTAGATACTTGGGTGCGAACAGTAACTAAGGACATGAAGCATCTACAGGGACGGCTCCTCTCGATGCTAGAAAAGGAAGGAATGCCCGCCGCCCATAAAGCCATATTGGCCCTACGAATTTTGATTGGAAACATATACAAAACACAATGCAGGAGGAGGAAAGGGCTGCCAAGCAACTTCAGGAAATTCTCAAGCCCCTTAGAGAGCATGGGGAAGTGATCCTCCCCAGAGTTAGCAGCATAAATCAACCATGCTGCAGCTTGGCTGTTATGAAAACCCCTGTACTAAGAAGTTTAAAAATTAGTAATAGCTGACTGCAATAATAAAAATTCGGATTTTCCTGTTGAAAGGACTCAGGAGGTGTGGGGGCTAATTAAAAAGCCCACTCTCCTTACCAAATTAATACTGAACAAACCTGAGTCATTGAGAAAAGTCATTTAGCAGGAATCCGGACGGACCATAAAAAGGAAAAAGCATGTGAAAGAGGAAGATAAAGATTTGGAGCTGGATGGGCAAAATAAAAGGAATAAGGAAAGCAGTAATACAGTCGTTGGAAAGTTAAATGACAATGTAATTTACACAAGAGCCTTTGGTGAGGGACCTTGACAAAGGCTGTCTGAAAATCTAAGTATACTATATCTACTGGATCCCCCTTATCTGCATGTTTCTTAACCCTTTCAAAGAACTCTAATAGATTAGTAAGACAGGATTTCCCTTTACAGAAACCATGTGGACTTTTGTCCCAGAAATTACGTTCTTCTACGTGCCTGACAATTTTATTCTTAACTATTGTTCCGACTAATTTGCCCGGAACTGAAGTTAGACTTACCGGTCTGTAATTGACAGGATCCCCTCTAGAGAGCTTTTTAAATACTGGAGTCACGTTAGCTACCTTCCAGTCATTAGGTACTGAAGCCAATTTAAGGGATAGATTACAAACCACAGATAATAGTTCAGCAATTTCCCATTTGAGTTCTTTTAGAACCCTTGGATGAATGCCATCCGGTCCCGGAGATTTGTTAACGTTAAGTTTTTCCATTTGTTCCAAAACCTCCTCTA